GTACCTGAACAGATATTGTTAGGGAGCATCTGGAGGACACTCTAAGGATTTGTGACATCAGTGCAATGGGTCTATACCCCATCAACACCCTCATGATAGGGATATATTTGGTTATTTTAGTACAAGATAAACTTATAGTAAACCCTGCATGTCAGATGTTTCATTGGCTTTTACAATGTTTATTACATATCTTAAGATGTATATCTGGAAATAAGCTTAGACATATGAGGTCACTTCCTTTGTTTGAAAAGGAAAACATAAGCTAGAGTTTACAGCACTTACTAAGAACATTGTTCTTGATGGACTCAAGAGCTTCACCTGCCTGTTTCACCTGCCGCACTGAGAGCTGGATTATTTAACAATTATTCGCAGAAGGCGAGGTGATTATCGGGGAATATTCGTCGAGACAAAGTCGAGGTGAATATTCCCCGATAATCACCTCGCCTTCGGCGAATAATTGTTTTAGTATTTTTGCACAAGTTTTTTTGTGTTTTTCTGGTCTGAATTCATTTTAATTTTGCTGATTTCTTTATCACTAACTTCAACAAAACAGCTAGCCGCCATTTTAAAAATTTCTATGTTGTTATATTTCACTTGTAGGTGAATATAACAGATTAATACGTCAAATTTGACCAATCACCTTGCAGGATGTTATGTTCACTTGTGCAAAAATATTAATGTCAATTGTTCGTCTTGTTAACCAGAATCTGTCTGATCTTATGCCAATAAGCCAACAAATTTAGAAACCTCATGCCGGAGATCTCAGTAGCATGGAATGCGATCAGGCTATAAGTAAATGCAATAATGCATGTATGGAAACCAAAAAGACTGAAACAAGTGAAATGACCAAAACAAAACAACCAAAACAAAACAATTCCTAGTAAATCCATACCTACAGTAGCAAATGAATATATAGGCACTATGATCGGTTTTTCACTCGGAATAGCATTTCATGCATTTACTTACAGTCTTTGGATAATATTTGCATGAACATTACTGATCATTATAATTCATCATATCATAATTTGTAGAAATAATTTCCTCGGCATTATTATTTTTGAAGCTAAACCTTCAAAGCTAAAAAATATTAGAAATTGCCATATAGCACCCAGGTCCAGTCCAGTGCCTTACAAGGAACTATAAAACTCGTTTCATATTAAACAAAGAATTAATATTAACCCAATATTGATGCTTATAAATAACATGGTATAATTGAAATATGTTTCACACATGCATAAAAAGGAAACTAAAAAATCAAATTAAAAAAAACAAATATATTTTCTAAGAATTTGTCATGTGCTTTCTTCCACGACATTATAAATATAGTGACGACAATACAACCACGCAAATTCCTGACTTTAATAAATTATATAACGTCATGTTAAATGCTCGCAGTTAAAAACAGTTGTCTTAGCAAATACAGTCAATTTACTCCACGTTACGGTCAGTTTTATTCACTACAAAATGCCCTGAAGCTTATGAATACAACCAACGTAACATAATTATTAAGTTTCGTATAAGTCAAATCGCAACAGACTTGCATATTTACATCAAATGTCGAAATTGTCTGCTAGCAAATGGAAATAAATACTTCTTAAAACGACAAAATTGAAGCATATAACTCACCAATGTGTCTGTTGGATCTCTGTTTGTACCTCTTTTCTCACGAGTCGATCGTTTAGATCGTCTCGATGTAGTGCTATCTTTGAACGAATGTTTTGCACTTCCGTTGCCATCCTCAGACAGATATATTACACGATGAGGCAGTGAACTGCCGCGAAGTGGTCCTTCTCTTTGCACGAACAAGTGTTTGGTTCTGACATTTGTCTGTTCCCCTCGTATCAATGTTTCGCCAAACGAAACGAAGAGAAATAACGCAACAAACAATGTCTGCATGGCGAGCTATACTCAATGCAGGCAAAACAACAGCAGCAACAAAACTTCAATGACACAATGTTCTACACTGAACTCAATATATCACTAGAGTAATAAAGTTCGGAAATTCTGATGTCATAACGAATAGGTACGTGCTGCCATATATGGTGCTGCGTACATTTGCCCACGGTTAATAGACCTGCCCAAAATCAACCTCGTACCCAGGATCTTTCTTTGCCAAAATTGACCTGCCCAAATACAATCTCGTTCCCCGAGCCTGCGATCCTCGGGAAGGAACGTGAGGCTCTGAGATAATCCGTTTCAGGGAGGAATCTGATTGGCCGTTGTTCAATCTTAGCCAGGATTCCTGGCTTCCGGCAACGGATTATCCCAGAGCCTCGCGTTCCTTCCCGAGGATCGCAGGCTCAGGGAACGAGATTGGCCCAAATAATGAAAAGGGCAGGGTCACCACAACAGCATATGCCAATTACTGTGGGCCCTTTTACCTAACCCGGGAGGAAACCGGAGAACCCGGAGAAAACCCACGACTTTCGGCAGAGCGTTGACTTTTACTCTGAGAAAAAGAACCTGCGACCCTTCCACTTCGCCATAACTCTCAAATACACGATTCTGATTGGTTAATTTCAGGGACGCCGGAACTGGGGGGGGCAGACGGGGCAGCCGCCCCGTTGCCCTTTACCAGGAGGGGCAAGGGGGGCAAAGGTGCCCTTTCAATTAAAAGGATTGCCTTGGCGAAATAGCGAATTGTCAGAAATGTTAGTGTAATTCTTTTACGAATTTGCTTCAGAAAACGCAAGAAATGCAGTCATCGAGCTTCAAGAATAGCACAATCGTCTGGCGGAGAACCCCGTCACACCTCTATCATCCAATAAATAGAAAACACGATTAGGCGAAGTTCAACTCCCGATGTTTTGCAAACATCTCTCAGTATATATCAATTCAAAAGTGCCCTTTCACGAAAATCTCCCCCCCCCCCTTGCCTTCACATCGTTCCGGCGTCCCTGGTTAATTTTTGCACAAAACTGTAGTTAACTTTAACTACTTTTTGTGTCTTCCTATAGGCAGAGCACAATGTCATCGTATGTCTACAGTCTTGTCTTCTGCAATACTATCCCATAATGCATCGCACTTATTGAATTGCTTATTGATTTGCTTACTGAATTGCTTAGCCAGGGTTGGTAAGTTAGATGAATAATTAGGCCAAATCGTCATTAGTGCCGTTTAGAAAACAAAAGGCCAAGACAAAGAAAACAAAGGCCTAGTGTGACGGTGTTTGGCCTAATTATTCAGCAACCTACAAGGCCCCCTTACAACCCTGTTGCTTATTGAATAATTTTAGAGAAAGTTTAACAAGACATATAAATACAATAAAGGATTAATAGACTCCCAAACTTGTGATGAAATAAATTTAAATGTTTGTATTCCATAATTAGTTGGTGCTTTCGGTCTACTTAGACTCCAATCCTTAGTCTACTAGATTAGTAGATTACAACCCCAATACTACAGGCAAATACTGTCGGGACGTCATTTGTAAACAAAATTTGCTATTTCAATTGAAAAACATCGTCTAGCTTTAGTATACCTAAAAGATTATATAAGGAATTACATTCTCAACACTCAGTGTGACCCGATTTTTTCAGCAGTCATTAGCAAAATTTTGTTCAAATTTTACTAAATTAGGGAAAATTTACCAAATGTCGGCTCCCAAATATTTACGTCATAATAATGTCAAAAAACAATAGTTATGTCATCAAAGTAGAAAAAAATATGCATAAAAAGTGTCTAGAAATATTTGTTGCTCAGGGGCGTAGGAACCGGGGGGCCAAGGCCCCAAATGCCCTTTTTCCGGTGGCAAAGTGCCCTTTGCCTTCGTGAAAAATGTCGTTCAGATTGCATTTTTGACTCACGGATGTTGCAAAGCAACATCTGTGAGTCTTTGTGGTTACTTGAATGTGGGGCAGTTAAACAATGAGAAATGACCAGCCTGCTTCGCGCGCACTCTTTGCCTGCGAATCGGGCCTTTCAGAACCAGAAATGGGGCTGGAGCACGACAAATGGTAAAATTTACACGGTGCTCGTTTGCAAAAACAACTGGAAACTGCTTTATTTCTTTCTGTCACTTTCATTTGATCTCATCCGTGAGTCGGCCTCAACGGCCTTTGATTTATGATTGCATTTATTTTTCCTTCCCTACCTCTTTTTTAGGTGCCCTTTTTATTCCAAAAGTGTCCCTCGAAACTGGTGCCCCCCCCCCAACTTCCAACGCCCCAGTTAGGGACCGGTCATAAAGTAACTGCTAGGGTGGGCTGGAGTGATTTGGGATGGGCCATGGAAAATCTTTGGGCAGTTTCGATGGGCCGCCAATTTTTTTTGTATGTCCACAGTGGGTCACCAAACAAAAACTCATGCATGTTTACTTAAAAAAATAAAGATATTAATAATAAAAGTAAACAAAACTATCCAAATTATCAAATGCAAATGATGCTATTGAAGCCAGTACTTTGTTTATACAACAAGAAGAAGTAGTCGATCGAATCACAGCAAATACAACCAACTGGAGAGCAGCTCAGTCGTATCGTAATTGGTGAGGAATGTGTTGGTCAAGCTTGGTGGAATTCAATTATGTATGTCAATACAGTGTCAGTGTATATTTACAATGTTCATATACCTGCAAGTTTTTTGTTGTTATAAAAGTGTATTTTCCCAATTTAGATTGGGTGGGTCATGACATTTTTTTTTGTAAGATTAGATGGGCTTTGAAATTTTTATCTACATCCTAAGATGGGTCACCAAACTTATTGGCAAAATTTGTGATTTACCTCCAGCCCACCCTAGCAGTTACTTTATGACCAGTCCCTTACGTTGGGCATATTGTAAACACTGGACTGGACTTTGGACTGGACTTTGGACTTTGGACTATGGACTTTGGACTTTGGACTTTGGACTTTGGACTTTGGACTTTGGATTATGGACTTTGGACTATGGACTTTGGACTTTCAATTTTGAAATTATATTATTTTTTAGATTTTCGTTTAATTATATTAAAATCTAAACAGAGAACGAAAATTTGCTGCTGAAAAGCGTGCTACACTGCATGCACATGCATGATATAATAATATACAAGGTAAAAAATCTCTAGTATCAGTTATATAGGTATACCAACAGTGCAATTTCATATACGGATATAGCCTGTAGGACAGCAGGATTATCCAATATTTTGGGATTTAATATTTAAATTTTATATAATATTTGTATTTATAGTATGCATAGTACAGTGTATACTGCAGAACTTCTTCTTTATCATATAGATAATAGATTAATTGTCAGAAACAATTGTGACAAAAGTGTCTCGGCAAGTACAAAATATTAACTATACAAGTGATTATTATCGCGCCTGTTGAGTATAGCCTGCGTGCAGCCTGACTTTAAATGGAGAGAAGTCAGTCTGCGAATCAGGGAACAATACCGTGTTCGCGCCATCTTTTGAATTGCATGGATTTCTGTATTCAAACGTGATTGGCTATTGCTCAAAAGCCTAACACACACGCTACGATTGGCCAATTTGTTAATATATATTTGGTTCAAACAACATTCCAGAATGAAAAAAAATGGCGGACAAAAACACAAAGAGGCAATTGTTGTGTGTAATTTATGCACAAACACATACAAAATATATGAAAGGGTTCTCATTGAGGTTCCCAAGACGCCAATTTTGCTAAATATATTATTTGTTGAACTGAATCTATTAACGAATGGCCAATCGTAGCGCGTGTATTAGCTTCTGAGCAATAGCCAATCACGTTTGAATACAGAAATCCATGCAATTTAAAAGATTGCGCGAACACGGTATTGTTCCCTGATTCGTAGCCTGCATGGCAGGCGGTATTTCTACGGGAAGCGAAAATTAGGGAAGCAAAGGAAATACCGTCTGCCGCAAAACTAGGGGTTTTTGAATTACCCGTCCGCTGGTGAACGGGAAAAACGGATTGGTTAGTATTTTTATGTAGTTGTCAATCAACGGCTAAATTCGGTTAAATGTTAATCAGAAGCAAATTAAAAGATACAAGCTGAAAAATAACACTCTAAATAGTGTTATTGATAGAGATTCGAACAAGAATATTTAACAAAGAAGATACGTCCGAAGGGGCCGAAGTTATGATCGGCGAAAGGTATGGGTTAGTCTATATTTTCGTTCAGACAATTACATGCGTATTAATTTGATAATATACAATCTCGCTTGACTTTCAAATGCCATAAATCGCAATAATGTTGACATTTTACTAAAACTATCGATAGAAATTAGGAGATATTTCTTCACTGAATCGAACAGTGGGATTTCCATAGAGGCCTATCAGTCATGTTCTGAACCAAAGATACTTGATAGATATTATATACGAACCTCCAAAGTATAAACAAGGG